TCTATCTACTCATCAATAAATCTACATGTCTATACATCCATCCATCCATCTTTCTATATGTCTGTATAACAATCTTTGTCTTTCAGTCTAATCATACCCAACAGCCGCAAATAGTTTCTGCTAAATTTCCTACATCCCTTTATTCTAGTCATGGTGTTGGTTATTTTGTTGGTTTCTGGGGCTTCCTCCCTTTTCCGCTCACTGGTACAGTCTCTATAAATACGGCAATACGTTTGGCTTTCGACAAGTCTATCTGGTGTACTGTGCAAGCCATGTGTTTGGCCAATTATGATTTTTATTGTCTTCTTGTTTTTGTGAATTACCCTAAAGCATGGTGCCATGCTCTGATGGTTTCCGTCACATGAAAAACAAAATCTCAGCAAGGATTCGTTGGGGTCGTAGGGCGGCGCGCCAAAGACATATTTGCACAAATCTACCCTCAAACCTCCAAAACAATCACCCTTAGACTTCAGCTGAAACCGACTAACAAATCCCTTCCACTCGCCTCTTGGGACGAATTTAAAGGTATTCCAACATCGGTCTATCAAGGTCTATAATTTATAGCCCAACTTAGCTGCATAGCCTTGCGTAATTTTGTTTGATAGCGAGTCTGCACACGAGAAAATGACGATACAACTTGAGGCTTGTATTCAATTTCCTCACGCCTGCCCACCAAAGGACAATTTTAATCTCCAAACTAGAATACAGCTTCTACCTCGCCTGACCGTCTCATTGGCAAGCCCGGCAGGACTCGAACTACGTCTAAGAGGGTTTTGGTTAAACGACGTGTAAAGCATTCCGGGCACAATACGTCTGGGAGTCATGCTGATGAGCCATTATGCAATGACAGTTAAACTCGAGATACTACTGCTCCATGTTGTCAGTAGTAGCTTATGTTTGCAATACACGATTTTATTAATTTTATTGAAGGTGACTTCGTCCTTCGTCCAACAAGAAAGCGCTCAAAACTGCAATATCGAACTAAATTGGGGGCTGGGAAGACGGGGAAATTAGCTCCCCAGTCTCCCGCTTCAGCCTGGCTTACTGCATTATCATCAAATCAGTCAGGAATTTAGGTACCCTGACATAAAGTTGAGTTGAAAGAATCAGTGCCACCCGCTGACGTAGTAAATATACCCACAAATAAGCCGTTATCCTACCTACCAGGCCTAATTAGACATGCTCGAAACCTCGAAACCGACCTCTTTCGTGGTCTCAAACTTCTGCTGCATAACAGTGGTTTTACATCGTTATTTTTTAGGTTAACATGGATGAACGCAACTTGTTTGAAGTCCCTGGTCCCAGTAGTCATGACAATTTTCAGTCTCGGAAGTTTGAACAAATCGGCTGTCTGGCCCTGCTCTACATTAATGAAGCACCAAAAGGCAGAGGGCGTCGAGACGTCTACTGCCAACTGACAGATGACGAGAAGAGATTGAGTTGAGTCTGTCTTAGTAACAGCTTATTTTTTTTATCCTTCAATTATACGCCCCATTTTATGCCTCACTTTCTCTATAATTAATCCACCTCCAAAAGTATAAACTAAAAATTCTTTTACGACCACCTCTCATTGTGCCCTAAAGCATCAATTTAATTTTGCTTTTATGGTGTTACCAACACCAGGCCTACTTTTTCCCGGCAGACGCCCCGGCCAGTGTCTCTCTAAATAACGAGGTTGTCTTCGATTCAAGTAAGTGTTGAATGGTTGAGTAAATCCTGCCATTCTGAAATCGCCTCAGGTCCTGTCAGGCCGTCTCGAGACTGGCGGACCGACCTGTGGTGGAAATGGGGCGGACTGGCTACAGATGTGAGCCCCGTCCCGGTCTCCGCCCCCCTTGCTAGGGTGGACGACACGACCGGAGATGACCCTTGACTGTGGAAAAGGGTTGAGCTGAAGGGATGCAACCGACGGCTCCTGCAAGTCAAGAATAGGCCGAACACGAGCCCGATGCGATTTTGCTTAAGATCATTATTTTATCGAATAAGAGAGTGTGTGTGCGCTTCAAGAGGTTTAGCTTCGCCTATTGATGCCTACGCTCTGGTAGTTATTTTGTAAAATTCTTTTATTCAAATTGATCTACTTTTAACAAGCTTATCTCATACTACTTTCAATAACAATACTACTAAATATTCCTAAGTTTACACGAAGCAAAAAGAACTTAGTCAGCCTAGGTCACTTTAAGTGATTTTAGTATTTGTTGCTCCTTTTAATGCTGGATTTTTGGAAATTATTTTGTCAACTTTTTTCATTGAACGTGATGTTTTCCTATCAAATTTGTCTAACAACGATCTTATTATCAATTATATGCCGATGCCTCTGGCATTTCATACAAATTTTACTCGAAATTCTTTTAAGTCTCCCTTTGTTGCTATGACGCTAATAAGAACTTATTAACCCTAGAATTTGCTTGATCGTGTCTTCACAACTTGGTCATACTAGCAGAAAGACCTGGAGGAACTCACCTTGTCCGGAGTCTATAGTATGCCTGATAATTTCCAGAGTGGAACCGTGGACTTTGTACATTCCCAAACGTTTCGCCGACATCATCAGATAATCTTGCGGACAAAGT